GGACCCAATGACCTCAACACGTATGCTGCATGGGGTTCGACACAGTTAACAGAAATTAAAAAAGCCCTGATATCGAGCATAAAGTCTTTCCCCAATCCTGAACCCTCAACCAGTAAGCCATGTGTGGTTGGGGTTTTGTCTTTGAGGCCTAAGGAAGAGAAAACACACGGGCCAAAGCAGTGCTCATATGCAAGCCTTCGAAAGTGAAAAGGGGAGCAAAGCATACACGCTGTCGGGTCTATACTGGGGCTTTGCTGACTTTGGCAAAAGATGAGGGTGTGTTTTGGGATGCACACTACTGGCAGACTGGCTGGTCGTACAGTTGACGTCATAGGATGGGCCTTTGGACTCTCGCGGCTCGGGCAATGCGGGCGAGGCTTGTCCGGTTCGAAGGAGGCATTGGTCTGTAGGGTGATTGGGGGCATCTTTGCTTACTTCCCCAATAGGCCAGGGAAATAAAAGGTTAAACTTTCAGATTACTACTAAATCATAAGATTAAACTTTCAGATTACTACTAAATTACAAAGAGCCCAAAAAGTTTCAAGGTTGGGTATTGGGTCCCAGCTTGCCCTGGGCCCACATGAAAGGAGACGCTGGTTCGAAAGCGAGCATGCTGAAGTGGAAGCTGCGTCATAAGTCATAATATCACCGGAAGATGATACTCCATGGGAGTCGGAGTCACCAGCGCCGCCATAAGGCTAATCCTCAAAGCCCGAATCAGAAGAGCCTTGCTTACACAAGCCTTGTTAGGGTTTGAAGGAAGAAGCTAGATTCCTCTCCGGCGCAACCGCCAACCGGAGGAACTAAACCAAGCATAACAAAGCAGCTAGGTAGCTGAATCAGCGATCCATCGCCATTACCTGCATGCGCAGGTTCTCTTCTAAGGCGGAGGTCCGTTTCTAGGGTACATGGTCGTTTGATGAGAAACGGTGTCCCATGGAGTGCACGTACCTGGATGTAGCTATTGGGGGAACATCCCTCGCCCTGAACCCTAAACCCTATACCCTAATAGGGTTTAGGGTTTAGGGATGCATGCCATGTCTGATCCCGTGAAACCCAAGGCTTCCAACCTCGGCTTTCAAACCCCACGGCCTTTAGGGTTTAGGGTTTAGGGGTTTAGGGTTTAGGGGTTTAGGGTTTAGGGTTTAGGGAGCTTTAGGGCCTGAGGTTTGGGAGTTTGAGGTACTGACAGTACCTATAGTCTCCATTGTAGTTCCTTTTTTTGGTTGAGCCAAATTTACATTTAGGATCCTGTAAGGTAACCCCGAAAAGGAACTACAATGGAGACTATGGTAGCCCCCACCTCCTTGAGTGCTGGACCTTCGTCAGGCGCGGGGCAGCCCACACCCTTAAACTCTGAAGCCCCCCGAAAGGTGCAGTTCCTCTAAGCTTTCGGGCGAAACAAGGTTTAGGGTTTAGGGTTTAGAGGTTTAGGGTTCAGGGTTGCATGTCTACACTGGCGAGGGTTCAACAGTAGAAGCTCTCTTGTCGCTTTTCCAACACGACAAACACGGTCTCAAGGTGTGGGGCTTCTTTGAGGGCTTAGAATTCCTGAAAGGGATCCTAGGCCCCTGCATCCCTAGCAGCATTTCCTCGGGCTCCTGGACTATTGGGCTTTAGGCTGCCTTAGTAGTTCGAGTAGGGTTTTGCAGCATAAGCAAAAACCGAGTATAACGGGATCTTTCTGTTGACCTTTCTTGACCTTTCCGACCATCAACTCTGACAAAATATCAGCCCTTTCTGCTGCTTGGCAACAGACTCTGGATGCCAAACTGGTGTCGGCAAGATCCTCGTGGATTTTTTTCAATAACTAGGGGTCGAAGGGTGTTGGAGGTGTTGGACGCCAAAGAACGCAGACAAATCCAGATCCTTCCTGCTAGTGTGACAATGCGCTGCCAGGGGTCATGGTTTGCAGATCTTGGGTTGAGGGTTTAGGGTTCAGGGCTTAGGGGAAAAGGGATACAGAGCCCCAAACATCTTAGTCTGGCTTTGTGTCAGCAACTGAAGAGTCCGCCGAAAGCACCACCCCGAATCGCATCCATGATTTCTGAAGCCTGGAACAACTCATGGTACTGCAAGGGCCGGCCTTAATGATTAGAATGGGGACTTGGGGTATATTATACTATAGTTATAGTAAGGAACCCTCAAAATAGTATATGTAGTTATTCGGGCCCCTATATTACACTTGCATTCTGCCGCTGCTCCTTGTATTTTGAGTCATGGGCGATGTTGGCACGCCAGGTCCTTCAACAAGCACTGTCGAAATGCTGATGCTTAATAAAGAGCCGAAGTCAGTAGAGATAAAGCTTTAGCACCGCGGACATCGTTCGAAACAAGCTGAGGCAGATTAGTTTGTGGCTCTGCTAAGGTCATCTGCATCGGAATCATGGTACCTCGGCCTTGAAGCCCCAGCTCCAATCGAAACCATCATGCCTCCATGCATCCTTGAAACGCCAACCCGGATCCATACCGTCCATACCTGCTAAGCTTCTTAACCTGCTCCCCCGAGCCCCACGTCCTTGAATCCAAAAGTCCCAAACCCTAAACTCGATGCCCTAAACCCTGAACCACTATACTCCATCGTCTAAGTACCCTCGAGTCCCTAGCGAACCCCTAAATGCCTCCAAATCCCAAGACCGTCGTCCCTCAACCCTAAACGTGAAACCCTGTGCTCCTCGCGATCTGTATTTCAGACTCGAAGGGCTCACCCAAGAAGCTGGGGCTCAAAATGACCAGCACGAAGAGACACTGCATAAAGGCACCTGGGCGTTTAGAATTTATGGAGCATAGGCGCATAGGGCTTGTAGGGCTCAGAGTTTCGGAGTTTTCTGGGGGCCCAAAAGCATGTAGAATCATAGCCTTCTTATAGGCTAGGTGTTGCCCTGCTTTTTTTGGGTAGTTTTTGGGGAGTTAGTTTTTCCCAAGTTTGGTTCAGCTCCGGACTCGAAAACTCAGGGCTGGGATCTGAGGTACGGCGTTGTGGCGGGCTATTTGGGGTAGCCGGTTTGTTCGTGAATTGTGGTTTAGGGTTTAGGGTTTTAAGGTTTTAGGGTTTAGGGAAATCCCTAGCCCTAGAATTGGGTATAAGTCTGAACCACTTTTGCATCTGGCTTATTCCGAAACCACAAATTCTCCATCACGTCTTGAACCTTTGAAGCCAGCATGGGCCTTGAACCCCACACCGCCAAACCCCAAACAATTCCAGGACTTGTCCGTACCACTCGGAAACCATCAATGGCTGAGTCGACCGTCTTTGCCCCATGTCGGGCCGTTGCAGAAACGAGTCCTTGTTGACTGCCACGCGACCGACAAGTCGCACGGCAAGCAGTGAAAGCCGAGAAGCTCATGCAAGCGAGGATCAACGTCAGCAGGATGTCCAGCCAGCCTTGATGGGTTTAGGGTTTAGGGTTTCGGGTTTAGGGTGAGTATCGGGTTGCCTCGTTCACAAACGAATTAATTAGAGGTGGCTTCGGGTGTTAGGCTTTCCTTGACATCATCTGCCCTTTGAGTCCGAAGCCCTAGCAACATGTGCACAACAATAGCGATAAGGGCAGCTCCCAAGCACATAGGACAAGTAAGAGCCTTAGACTAGAAATGTGAGGACTGCCACACCTGGGGGTCTTCGGATCCAAAGGCTGCATGGGGCCATGCTTTCGAACTTGAAACAGGCTTGATGCCGACGCACATCTGAGAGACTTGGCCAGTATGTCATGCGAAGCTTGCAAGTGTTCATTCTGCAGTCATGGCTCAATTTGGGGGTCTCTCTGCCCAGATTCTTGGATCCGCTCTTACATCAAAACATGCTGACGAAACCGCTGCCACGTGGCCAGCATCAGTGAAGCCCAGGACTAAGGCCACGTTCCACACCTGGAAGTGCAAATTGCGTGACCATCTCTGCACCGTCACTGCTTTGGGCTGTTTCTGCACGCGGCACTGCATGTTCTCTATGTGCGAATGTATACAGACGTATGTACATACGTACATTTTGCTTCTGGGCGCTGGACGCGCACACCCGCTATGCAGCTATGCATGCCGGACCACCGAGCTCTCTCTCCAAAGGACGTCTGCGCATACATACGGTCTTCATTCATACACCCGCACACCTCTCTCTGTCTCTCTCTACTCTACGTCCACGTCTCAGTGTATGCACACATCTCTGTCTCTGTGTGCGTGTGCATGTGTGCGTGTGTGCACTCGAGTAAGGTGCAGTTCGCCTATTTCGTCGCGGGCCCTGACACTCTCCAACACTTGCGCCCCGAAAGCCTCTTGTCCTTGAAGCCCAAAGGCCCGAAATCAAACACCCTCAGGCAAGGCTCAGTCTCCGCAAAAGGTATCGGCTCTTCGTCCTCTTCCTGCTCCTCCTTAAGTCTGAGTCTGGTTACGCAAAGCCAGAGGAGGATATAACGCGACCTTCTTGCATTCGGGGCCGATAAACCTCGAACAGGGGCACCCCTAAAAAGCCAGGGATGAATGTGTAGCCATCTGAAGGCATTTGGGGCCACAGCAGACATGGAAACAAACCGTGGAGCTCATGCTTCACACAATGCTCCGCTGGCGTCAACCCCAAGGTTTCCTACTGTATCTGCATATGGGGGGTTTCCGAAAATATGGGACCCTAACATAGTACCCTGACTAGTAGGATCCTTATTATAAGGACCCGCAAAACAAGGTACCCCTCATCTTCGGAAACCTCCATATCCTCCCACTGAGTGTGTGCCATAGCGGGCAGCCTATGGGCACACCTCGCGAGCAGATATCTCGTTGTTCAAGAATCACACGAAGCACGGAGCATGTTTCTTTTGCGGCTGCCCATGCTTCACTGTAAATCTCCCAGCACGGGGCGGTTGAATGGAACACTGCATTTCATGGTACAACAATGGACAGACACCATGCTGCTCTGACGGCCATGCTGGCAGGAAAAGAGCGGTCACCAGCGTCTGGACGCGTTGATTTCAGAACGTGGCGCTGTCAAGTGGCTCATTATGTACAGCTCCTGCTGTTTAGGAGTACTCGGACATTTGGACCTTGTCAGCCTTCGCGACATAATCCTCTACCTGGTCGAAGTTCAAGTACTTGTAGATGGAGTCCTCGTTCTTGGCGAGCTCCGCGTGATACTTCCTAGGTCACCCAATAGCCCTTGAATAAAGTTTAAAGAGGGTACGGCGTTTCCTGCTAGTCCGTTTTGGCAAGGGCGCACCAGGGCAAAAGTGCACAAGGGCACCAATGTGGACCTTTGGAAAACCCTCTAGACCCCTTTGTAGTATCCCTCATGGCCTTATAGAACAGTTTTTGAGTGAATCCAAATCGCATAGAAACCTAAATAGAATACCTCTTCTAGCATCCCTTGCACATGGAAGAAACGCCTAAAGCCCACAGGCTAAGGCTAAACCATACCTAGCTTCAGGTACTCCTCCTGGGTTGGCAACCGCCCGAGAATGGCGGCGACTGCTGCGAGCTCTGCCGATGCCAAGTAGACGTTGGCGCCCTTACCCAGACCTGGGTTGTCCAGAGAGCCCATGCAATACCCCTCAATTAAGGAATATACCTTAAACCATAATATTAAGGCACCTATAGTTTAAGGTATATTCCTTAATTAAGGGGTATTGGGTTTTTGGGGCGCAGCTTGGGTTTCGACGCTCGGCCCGACGCTCACACTCGGACAATCCAGGCGAGGCATGTGGTCCAAGGTCGACTGATGAGGTCTTGGGTTTAGGGTTAGGGTTGAGCCGCAAAACGCTTCTAGTGAATAGTTCTGGAACAAGACTAGTTCATGGTTGGGGTAGTATTAAAAATTTAAATCTATATTCCATATTGGGTTTAAGTACCCTTAAAAATGTAAAATGTTACCCAACTATGACAAAGAAGACCGCATGGAAAGGTAAAATGATACCAAATTTCCACCTGAAGACGGTTGGGGAAGTTGCGAGTGGAAGTCGAGACAACCGTGGCGTTGTCGGCCACGCGTGCCTGCTTGCCCATGCAACGATCCCAAGCCCCCGAACCTCCACCCTAAACCGCGAAACCTCGAACCCCGAACCCTAAACCCTAAAACCCTAAAGCCCTAAAGCCCTAAAGCCCAAAACCCTAAAGCCCTAAAGCCCTAAAACCCTAAACCCTGAAACCCTAAAACCCTAAACCCTAGACCCTAGACCCTAAACCCTAAAATCGTGAACCCCAGCCTCCCTCAACCCCCAATCCCCCCAAAACGCTCGAAGGCCTGGTTTCCCATGCAGAGGGAGCATCCTGGCATCTCGGTACGGGCACCCACCTTGCCGTAGATGGAGTAGTAGCCCTCCTTGGTGAGCTGCTCCTTCAGGTTTAGGGTTTTAGGGTTTAGGGTTGAGGCTTCTTTGACCACCCGCCCAGCTGACAAAGTCGCACCGCAGGGAGTTCCCTAAACCCTAAACCCTAAGGGTTTAGGGTTTAGGCTTCAGGTGGTTCCACACAGGGGTTCGATGCTAAGGCCTAGGGCTACAGTAGAGTCTGGTCCCGTTCTGCCGGATGATGGTCATGCCTACTGAATGGTCATTCTCGGTTTAGGGTTTAGGGGTTTACGGTTAATTAAGTGAGATAGGTACACGAGACAGCATCCGAATAGCACGCAGAGCGCTCCTCATCCATTTTGGTGGGGGGCGCGATCCACAAGCGAGTGGACAACTGGCCGTCGAACTGGCTCAGCATCTTTCCAGCTGCGCGGTAGTGGCCGATGTTCGTCATGCAAGAGCCAATGAACACCTGAGATTCTTCAGCAACTCCCTTACGTAACGCGAGGCTTTAACACAAGGCGAGAGAGTCCAACTGACGAGGAAGGTTAACAAGGGGGTAGTTCTCTAAATTAGGGTCCCTTTTTGGGTCCCCAATATAGTACGGCACCCTTATAAAATGGACCCTAAAAGGGACCCTAATTTAGAATAATAATAATAATAAGGACCCTAAAAGGGACCCTAGTTTAGACAACCCCTTGGGGCGACCTGGGCGCCTCATCAATTCCCGCGGTTCCAATCTCAGTGAGAGTCTTGGCATCGTCGGGATCGTTGGGGCAACAGAGAACCGGCTCCTTCAGCTCGTCCAGGTTGATGTTGATCACCTTAGTGGTGCTTAAGGAAGAGTGGAGGAGAAAATATGAGAACTACGTTATCTATGATGTTCTTATAGGGATCCACTCTCCCACTCCGCAAGTACCAGTAAGTCGCTGCGGCATACTCGGCCTCTTTGTCCGCCTCAAGGAGAGTGGGGCTTTCGAGCCACTTCTCCATCTTGCTGACACGGCGGGCCAGCGTTCGGGGGTCGCTGTAGCCCTCGGAGATCATCCACTTGAGCAACGTGATGTTGGAAGTCAGGTACTCTTTGACGGAGTCCTGGACTACATTCGCTTTGAAGGAGAGGTAAACACGTATCCCTGTAGTCTAAGTATGCTTCATCACGTCCTATATTCGACCGTTTAGCTCCCTGTTTTTTTACCATGAAACAACAAAGAGAGCCCCTAAACCCTAAACCCCCCGAAACCCCTAAACCCCCAAACCCCTCAACTCCCACACCCCTAAACCCGAAACCCTTAAACCCTAAACCCTAAACCCTAAACCCTAAACCCTAAAACCTAAACCCGAAACCCTAAACCCTAAACCCTAAACCCTAAACCCTAAACCCCTTGGTCCTCGTTCAGCTTGATGGTGCAGCCCGCCGCCGAGCGTTCCGCCGAGGCATCCGACAGCTCGAAGGCCTGCTCCCAAGGGCCCTAAATTAAACCCTGAATAGTTTGTTTTTGTTTTAGGGTTTA